TGTTAAAAATGGGGAAAAAAACATTTCAGAACCGTGCTGTCTTGTCTTTATTTCCACGTAAGCAGTTGTATTGTTTTTTATGTCTTTAAACATTATGTAATATTATTTTATGCACTGTCATTATTTTTCAAAAATTGAGACTTTCATCATGTGAATTTGAACTCTCATGATCCTGAAACTGTAATCTTATTGAAGGGGTGGATTGAGACCATCTTCTGGGTCTTCCGGAAGACGGTCAGGTTATTAAGTTTATATTGACTGGTATCTATTTTTTTTCTGTTGGAAGACCATAAAAATGGGGGATGGATCAACATAGATACTTTGGAATACTATCAGAAAATATCTCTGGGTTCGCTCCTGTTATTGACCATGGTACCTGTTGTGCATGATTAGAATTCAGTGTTGACTGACAGTGCTATTATAAGCATTATTTATTATTGCATCAAAATTGACAAAATGACCTATTTTGCATCTTTATTTTCTGTTTTTTGTCTGTACATTTGACAGCTTTGCTGCCTTGTTTTTTTTTTTATGTGTGTGTGTGTGTGAGGTTCTGCCGAATTTGGTAGTTTAAAAGGTGAAAACAGAAGGCTGTGAAGGATTTCGGAGGGTTTTTTTTATTCTACTTTCAGTATTCTAAGTTCAGATATATAAAAAAATGGTATTATACAAAGGCAGTAACTGTAACAGCTGTGCTTGAAAGAACAGAATATAGTGCACTTCAGCATGGAAAAAGGTGTATTCAACAATACAAATAAATGCTTACTGACCATCATTAGACCCAGTTTCAAACTCAAATTTTTAAAATTTCTTTTCATATCACATTACTTGGCCAAAGTCTAAGAGACTGTTGCATACATTTTATCCTTGCTTTACTGGTATTTCTTGGCAGAGGATATAAATTTAATTCCTTATTATGTAAAAGTTGTGAAGTGTTTTTCACGTTTGAACAGAAAATTTTTGACACTGAAAATCCCATTTGCTTCCCCACACGTGTTTCAACTTGAGTGATAAAACCCTAGAACTGTGATGATGTCAGTACTATTGAATATTGCTTTGAATTACTTATGCCTTATTATCCCCTGGTTGGTTGCGGGAATTTATGAATTTGAAGATAGTGACCTGCTTGTGGTATTGGATGCGTATACTTGGAACTAAAGAGTTGAAGATAACTTAGAGTACTCCCCCACTGTAATGGATTTTTATTTTTTGTGTTGTAATTTGTGTATTGTTAATCTTCCAATGATATGTAAAGTCAGATGTTTTTAGTGAAAAGGAATTGCTACTGCTTTCTCTTTATTTTGTAAAAGACACATTTGAAGTGATTAGCTCAATTTAAGGACCACAAAAAATAGAAAACCCAACAATTGAGTATTTGCCTACTGTTTGCTTTATTTTTGCTTATAGGCTACATTCTAAAATTATCCTTCCTGTAATAAAAACCTCAATTTCATAAAGCACAGTAGAAGTGACTGACATTTAAAATGAAGCAGGTGCCTCCTTGTTGACAACTTTGACCGGTACAAACATTACTTCAAAACCAACTGAAAGTTAAACTGCATTACTGCCACCTGGCATTTCAACATCTTCAAGGACGTGAGAAGAAAACAAGCTACTAAACAGAATTTGAGAAAAGTCATTTAAAAAAGCTCATTTCAGGAAATCGCAACCATTGCTCAGATGAGCAGAACTACTTACTTTGCTACATGTGGTGAGAAACCATTTTCAAAAATGTATTTCTAATCAAAATTTGACATACATGTTTATGTAAGCTATGTTTAACTTGTGTCATTTTTTTTTTCTTTGTTAATGGGAAACTAAAACCCATAATGATGGAGTCTCATGTAAGGACTCTTCATAATCCTACAAAAATTGTCTAAATTGTAAATTTACCAAGCCCTTGTATTTACTACATAATGAACATTACATTTTATATCATAGAGAAGACAAATATATACTGTTTGCAAACAAAACCGGTCAACATTTCTTTTTTTTTTTTTGCCTATTTTTCATCAGTGCAAAATTACAGAGGAAACTTGAGCAGTTTTCAGCCTGTGCAGCATTGGCAGTGAACATTAAAAAGGCACAGTTTCAGTTTTCATATTTTTGCTTGCAGGTGAAATGCTCTTTAAATGATCATTCATAACAGAATGTTAAAGATGTAATGAACAGAAAAACTGAACCCGTAACTTCAACTGAAATTTCTTGAGACAAACACACATTTTCATACCATGTATACTTAAAGGTGTGAAATCTGAGCCTCTTTTATGTTGCCAAGTAACAGGCTAACACCACAAATCACATCTACTAACCACTTTTAGAGAGAAAATTCTTTGAAATAAAGCGGCACCAGTTTCTTTATTTAGGAACAACCCTCAAATTATTCTGAACCATTTCCTGGTACATTTGAACTATCAATCCGATCAACTTAACACCTCCAAAAATACTAAAAAGTATGTTTAAAGCAACTGTTTTTCTTTACTGACTTAAAGTGAAGTTACTTGTGCTCCCTGTATTTTCACTTTATATTTAATGTTATTTTAAGGTGATATAATCATCATGGCTTTTCCATTTGAACAAGACTCTCCAAAGAAACTGCTAAGATTTAAGACACAAAACAACAAAATTTCCATGTGTGGTCCTTAAAAATGTGGAAATATGATACAGAAATTCTATATATTTTGCTTAATTCAAAATATCACAAATTTTACCTCTATATTTAAATGTTGAGTTAAAGACGAAAAATAAAACAAACTGTAAAATGCACAGCAGGAAAAACAGTTACGTGCTGTCTGTCCTTATATAATGTCCTTACATCAACTTAGCTATAACTTTCATCACAGTCAATTGCTTCATTTCTCCCATTTCAATCAAGTTAATAACAGCAAAATACAATATAAAGCAATTTTTAGTTACAGAATCACAACAAAAATAGCAAAAATTACACAAATAAAGCCCCACTGTGTTAACAAGATACTTTGCACCTCTACAACAACCGAATAATGTTAATTAAAAACAAAAAAATATTGTTTCGAGACATCTTCATATCTTGTTTTATCGCCAACCTTAACTCTCAGAGCAAAACTATGCTGCTAGAACCTTACAATACAAAATCTACATTATAAATCACAATCACCTGTTGCCATTACTCATCACCTGGAACATATAACACATTTGTATATTAAATAAGAAAATAAATCATAACAATATATATATATATGACAACTCTGATTAACTGATATCCTGTTTTATGAGCTCTTAAAGACTGACACCAAAGTCTCACAAACCTCTAATTTCCACAGAGTATATATTTATTTACGAGTTGCAACCCTCTGAAGTTTGATTAATATGTAAATGTATTTTACAAGTTACAAATAGTTTGAGCAAACCAGACACTGACCTACAAATTATTGATGCAAATATTAGCAATCTAACTTTCAATGACGCCAACAATTCACTATAAAGGACTCTTAAGATGAAAAAGGTCAATTCTCAAGGCACTGAAAGCAAGTGTTACAAGCTTCATTCAGATACAACTTACAGTAACAAAAAGTTTACATGCAATGAGCATAAATTACCAACAATATTACAAGTTCCTGAACTGGACTGGCAATGGGTACCTGGTAGCACATGATGACTGACAAAGAAAGTTTGTTACATCATTTTCTTACATCAAGTGCACTCTGAGGGAGAGCAACGTGAAAACACATATTGCTACTACTGGCCACAGGGAAATAAAAAACAACATATAAACTTTGTTTGATGAAAACATAGGTTGACTTGGTATATATGGTTCATTGCAATATACTGGCTCTTCCATCAAATTAGTAAAACCATGACTTAGAGGTAAAGCTTGAATTCGAGCTTGATATGAAAAATAATATCAAGTTAAGAGAATTGCTAGTAGATCCATTGCAGTTATAGCAAAAAATAATAGAAGACTACAGATAAAGTTACCCAATTAGAAAAATATTAAAATCAATTTTACTGGCCTTATCTATACATCAAAATAGATTTTTGAATTTTCAACAAAGTATCCAAGACTTGAAATAGCACCAAGCCTTTGTTACAAGCAAAATAAATAAATAAATAAATAAAAAATAAAAAAAGCTCTTTACTACATAAACAATATATAACATAAAATCAACAACATCAAATCTAACAGTAAGTGGCATATCTTAGCTGACAACATACTGGCCACTGTCTCCTTGTTCATCTGCTGTACAAATTACAACTAATTTTTTTGTGAAAAAATACATTAATCACAATAATATTCAGTCACTGAAATACCCCCCAAAACGATAACAATATGAGACAATTTTAAAGTGAAATGCTACTGAATGCACATGAAAAAAAAAAAGAAGATATTAAATACATAAACATGCACAACCTGATTAGCCAGTCATAATGGTGGCTTAATAATATAAGCATAATTATTTACAGTTAATTACTGCCTAGTTATGGGAATGGCAATATATGAATAGAAGAAAACATTTCTTTCATGGACTGGGAGCTAGGGGAATTAGCGACCTAAAAGTAGGTTTAATCATCACAATCTTTTTGATAAATGGCACATACAATACCTATGTGCTGGAATACAGAACCATGAATAAATTAGACTCAAAGGTCAGTAATATGACTGGGCTCTATGAATGAATATTTCAAATTAATTCTGATTTGCTTAACCTAAAAGCAATAATGCACAAAGAATGCTCAATACTAGATCAAAAACTATATCCAATGGGTTGCCCAGATGGAAACATAATATCCCCTTAGTCTCTGTACAAATGCATCAGAAAACAACATTTACAAAGGAACACAGAGAAATTTATATTTGTGTATATTCTATGGCAACAATATGGGCACTGGCACATTATACAAAATCGAGTAAAAATTTCATTTTTTTTAAACATTCCCTGTTAGCAGTTGGCTACATATCCACTGGGGCAAGTGATTCCATTGGTGATGATATCCTCCTGTGTGACATAACCAGATCCCAGGGTTGTTGAGAAAAGCGGAGGAGGCTGATCTGTTACTTGACAGCCATCTTGGAAGTTACCACCACTGCAGCATGTGGAGTTAGAAGAGTTGTCTAGCAATGGAGATGCTGCCTCGCAGTCTTCACTTTCACTGAGATCCTGGAGAGGTGGAGGGCTTGGGGAGGGGTGCTGGGACAAAAGGGGAATGTTAGCATGGGCACACTCTTCCTCCTCATCTTCTTCTGCCACCTTTTCATCTTCCTTACTGTTCTCTCTGTACCATCCACTCTGCTGGCTATCACTTTGCCAAGACTCCTGGTCACCCTCTGAACCCAAATCACCATCTCGGATACCCTTACCCTGGCCATTCTCTGACTGAGTGTCTTTACCTTCACCAACGCCCACATCTGGGTCAGCATCAGTTCCTTTCATAGCCTCACCAAGGCCAAACTGAGAGTATCCCATCCCTGATGAACTGCTTTCTGAAATTGTGCTTTTTTGTGCTGACTTCTTGGCACTCTCTTCCTTACACTCAATCTCGGGGCGATTTGTAGATGGGGTTTTGGCCATACCCACATTGGCAAGGTTCTTTGATTTGGAATGTAATTCAAGCCTGTTATCTTCTCCCTGGCCTCCTCTTGCTGTGAGGGGTATGCCGTTGGCTAACACTAACTGGGCATGTGCCACTATTACTTCAGGCTGATGGACAGGGATGACACTAGTGCAAAGCTTCCGTTTCTCTTTTTCATTTTGAGGTCGTTGTTTCTCCATCTGACCATCTTCCATGCCTCTATCCTTGTGCTGCTGGCCAGTCAGGCTGTTCACGGCCATCTTGGAATAGTAGTAATCTGAGCTGCTGCCATTCCCACTGTCGCTGGAGATACTACGTACTGGAGACAGCTGCTTGCCTGGGTTGGTCAATTTCTTTAGCTCTGCAGCATCCTTCATTTTATCTTCTTCATCTAAATAATCCAAGTAATCCTGGTCACCTAAAGGTGTCACCACTTCCTCCTGACCTTCTCCCGTCTCTTGTATGGTGTCCAGGGAGCTAGATTCACTGCCATGGGCACTATTACCAGAGCTATTGAAACTGAATCGGCGCTCTTGCTCACTCACTGGGCTTGGAGTGAATATGCCGCTGTCAATACTGTTTTGCTTCATGAACTTGACAAGGTCCTGGAAGTAAAACTGGATTGTCACATTCCAGATCACTGACAGAATTAAAATCTGTCAGTGAGTTCAATTGCTAATGTTGTTCATCAATAAATAAATCATTTCTCTAAAATGTGAAAAATTATTTATCCAAGTAATGATTTATAACAGCTGGTGTCCTGTCTCTATATAGCACCAACAGTTATTGCATGTACTACAACAAGATTGATTATTATACAATAAGATGATTATTTTACAAAAACATACCAAATCACTGAAGCCAAGTTTGCCTTCATCTATTTCTGACATCAAGAACTTTGAATTGTTGTTATAGTTTCCACTGTCATAATCAAAGTGATCATCAATCTGTAAACAGAGAGTTAAAAACTGCACAAAAATGTAAATATTGTGTTCTATACCACAAGTTGTCTACAATGACATGCACAACAATGTGTTTGTAGAAAGGCTTATGACTAAGAAGGTAATTTCACAGAAACAATAAGAATATTGTAAAATTAACTTTTGATACTTATACAACAAAAGAAGATTCCCATTTACTCAGTTAATTTAAATGTATGGTCAGGGTAATGATGTAGTTTAAGCACCAAACCGAAGATAAAAGGCTAGGAGTAAAACTATAGACTACTTTGACCAAAGATAGTCAATAGTAATTCACATAAATTAAATATTGCACCCTTTTTATAACAATAAATAAATGGTTTCTGTTTTAGACTATAATAGATCACTCTACTTTGGAGAACTATTGCACGTGTATTCTGAATTGAAGCAGACTAAAACTGTGGTCATAGAGTTATTTTGTTAAGCTGGCCCAGTACATTCATACTCTTGTCTACTTACACTGATAGGGGGTGGGAGCTCAGGTATCTCTTCTGGTGGGATGGTCAGCTTCTTCTTACAAAATGCACTTGTTCTGATGAAGCGGCAAATATAAAAATTATTTATATGTTGAAATTTAATTTCAAAGGAAAGCCACAATTATGACCATGCACCCAGTTCAGCATATAAAGTCATACCAGTACATGCAATAAAGGCGGATATCTTTACAGACTTGGTGACACCTGCTGACTTCATGTGATCTGTACAATGTAAGCTGGATGGAAAACTGGACATACATGTAGAGCATGTGTATATTTTTTTAATAAGTCCACATCATTAACTGATCATAATCAAACTAATAAATTGACAGCAAAAGCTGCCAGATGCCTAAACTTCCATGCTTCAACTTTAACATTACTATTCAATTACCAAAAGATTTAAAACTAAGACTTAGCACAAGTAAAATGCAATTAGTTCTAAAAATATCTTAATTAGTACCATTTCAGATATAGTGATTCAGATGTGGAAAATTTCAGACACTAGTTATGGTTATATCCAGTTAATATATTTACAACACTTTGTGCCTTAAAAACAATTATAAAAAATTTATCTGTAAAAATGCTTACCTGTAAACCATGAAGATGAGGAAGGCGATGCAAACACCCCCTATGATACATCCAGCTACAATTCCACCCACTACGCCATCTGGCAGTCCTGGAAAAAGTACACAAACATTACAATTTTTCCTTATATAATTCAATTAAAAATAAATATAACAGTATCAATTTTTGCTGATAGGACACAGAAACATGAAAAGGCTCATGTGTGCAAACATACAGGGTAGAGACTCAATATTTGACTACTGTGGCCGTCTTCTAAACTAGTATAACAGTATACAATACCTCTATCTCGAGCATAAGCATCCCTATGGAGGCATTCTTGTAAACTAACTCAAATTCATGCTGGTTAACCAACATCATTACTTTTAACAAATGTACCTGGTTAGAGGGGAATTTTATAAAATTGTGGTTTCAATTAAAAACCATAAAAGGCCACATTCTTATGCAAAATGACAGAAAGTTATGTTCTCTTTGTTTTTGGTTTTTTAATGAGACCACAAATATTTCTCTCTACCCCTCAAGGATCTTTCGAATATATATAGTTTGGTTATTCACAGTTGACCTAATTCCTGAGCTCATACAGGCATGACAAAGTTTTCTATGAAACACAAAAGTGAAAGCTTCAAAGCAGTTATTGCAGAATATACAAGTCACGCAAACAAATTTGGGTCATATACTCCTGGAATGTCTTGAAACTATGGCATTTTTTTTTACCACAGTATACTATGTGGTAAATATATTATACAGATCAAATTTTACTTGACATATATGTAATAATTGCATGGACACTCAGAAATTAGCAAAGTAAACCTTACATAAATCACCCTTGCATAAATGCAACACCACTATGCTTTATCTTCTAAAGAAGCATATTCCATCCACACTATCAGTATCAGACCACTTTATCACATTAAGTAGAGACTCAGTGCAGTCCTAAATGCTTGCTGCTAGGGTCAGTTTCTAAGTATTGATTTCTTTTGCTTCCCACAATTGCATCTTGTCCAAGGTTAGGATATTAACAAGGAACAATGTTCTGCTTGCAGCCTGTGTAATGGAACGTGCACTTTGCTAACATTTAAAAAGATGTTGCAGCTGGTTTTCCTGGTACTGAGCTTGTGCAAAATTCTCAGAATTTCCAAGTTTAGGGAATTGTGGGTAGACACCAGGCGATACACGAGCATCCTGCGGGGATAAAACCTACATGACAAAATTTTGGTTATTGCTATTGGCAGTGGCAGACCAATTTATGTCAAAAAAAAAAAAAAACCACAGTAATGTTTGCTTTCTAGGAAAATGTCAAAAGGTCAAGCATTTAAATAAAAAAAATAAATAAATCACAAAAGAAAATAGAAATTCTGAGAAAAGCCTGCTTTAACCTGCCCATAAATGAAACAATTACTCAATAGTTCAAGGAAATAAAAGTTAGGAAATCAAGATCATTTTATGCTACTGCTCAGTACTTGAAATGGACTTTTTGGATGAGGTTTTCCAAGAAATTTATATGCCAGCGTTAAGTGGCATGTACTCCTTGACACTACTAATATATTCCCCTGGCCAATTCAGGCTGTTTTCAATGCTGTTTGTGACAGGGAAATCTTGACAACAAAACACTTCTCAATTTAATATTACTACCATTTTATTATAACAAACTATACGTAAACACACTGGAGAGAAAGGGAAGAACCTGGCATCAGTAAACTACTTGTACATGTAGAAGGGATTATTTTCACAACACTTCACTACTATGACCTCTGACTGCATTAAAAAAATCAAATGATACTTTTTATCAAAATTTAGATTGGGATGTTTGTAATGGTGTCTATGAAAATGAAATCATTCATCAGAGAAAAGGCAATAACAGACCATGTTTAACATACATTTGTTTCATATCAGCCACAGTGACTTATTTTCCATAAGTAAAGGGACACAGAAATTGAAATTTATTCAGCAATACTAAAATGGTAGCACTAGAAGTAGCTCATCCTTCGAAAGTTGAAAAAAATCTACTTAATAACCTCTCTCAAACCCACCAAACTTCCTTCTCAAATCTAATTGAAATGAATTCAAGCCCCCAGAGTAAGCAGAGCTGGCATACAAAGGAGACAATTATCTTGCTCAGTAACAAAGGAACCTACAAAGGCATAATTCAAAGTGACATAGACTAACATGAGCCAATTTCAAAGGGAAATAACCTTCTCTGTGTGACAGCGTTTTTGTGGAACTCTATGCGGAAAACCTATTTCAATTTTATTTAAATATGGATAGCACATCTACATACAATATGAGCTTAATTTGTCTTCTACTTTTACCTAGTTAAATCATTCTCTTACATCCTTAGCTTATATGTACCCTAGCAGAATGGATTATAGTGTAGGTTTCACATGGGGAACATTTTGGTCATAAAAAAATGAATGCCATAACTGGGAAGGAAAAGTATGTATTAGAAAACGCATTATTTTTTGTCACTTTGTCCCAATGAAACTATCGTTCTACAAAGATCGACCCAAATTTGTAGGGTCTCTCACTGAATGTAATCAGATTAACATCCCTCCTTTTGTCTGCAGCAAGCTTGTATAATCACCAACTTTTCTGTATTCTACTCAAAGCCAGGAGGAGGGGCATTAATCTGTTTATCTGACTGCATTCAGCATGAATCCCCATGGAGTTGGATCGATCTATGTAGAATGACCATTTCACTCCGAATAAGCCCAAGACAGTTCCTGGAGGTAAAACCATATTTTTCCTGGGCAGATCCAGAGATATTTTCTGACAGTTTTCCAAATTATCTTTGTTGATCCAGCCTCCATTTTTGACTGTCTTCCGACAGAAAAAATTAGATACCCGTCAATGAAAACTTGGAAATCTGATCCTCTTCCGGAAGATCCAGAAGACGGCCTAAATCCGCCCCTGATTTCCTGGAACCCAGGCATGACTTCATACTGCTCATGTGACAGTAACTCTAGTCTCATCCTATATCTTAAGTGCCATTCTGCCACTTGCGTTATCATATTGCATGGAAAAGAACTACACAAACAAGTGACAGGAATAAGCCACATGTCACTGAACGTGCAGTAAGGTTGAAATGCACAAGCAGGAAAAACTGATTCCCACATATTTCGCCGACTTATCCAGAAGAGATCTGGATGCATATTAAAACTTGTTTTGCAAATTTTTACTTTACCTAAACTTATGTTTCTTTGAACAAATGAGCCTCATACAGGCCATGCATCTAGTTAGATTCAAATTTTAGCTTACCCACAGTGTTCTTAATTGCTCCCCATCCCCCCCCCCAAAAAAAAAAAATATATATATATATATAATCTCACATAGGAAGGCAGAAATCATGTTTAAATAAGTCAGTCAAATATCTGGTGTTTTTCAGTCACTAAAAACCATCAATATGAGAATAGTGATTCTTAGCCATGTGAACATTTTACAGTTGAAGGTAGTTTTTTTTTCTGCTGTAGAGACAATTATTTTGTTCACATTGTCACAACATATGTGCTGGAGACTATAATCCAGATAGACGAAAGATAGATTGACATTGCCATGGTGCACTTGTAGTGAAATAATAGTAAAAGTGAGAGGTTGAAAGAGGGCTAGTTTTTCTCCACTTGATAAAATTGTCAGAGAATTTAAGGCTCAGGATGGCCTAGCAAGCTATATTATGAACTAATAATCCTACCAATGCTTTGCATCATACAGGGTGCCACTTTTTATGACAACTCAAATAAATGACTGTCCTTCCCTCTCCTCCTTATCTATGCAGTTATAGATATTTATAATATAAGAGAATAAATCATTCATATAATAATAAAAATGTGTACTTTTATGTGCATATTATACTTGGCTTGGTGGAAGAACTTAAACAATGCAGATGAAAGCAAAGAAAAAATAGTCTTTTGCTTACGCATTTAATCCTGAGTAATAAGAGCTTATGTTGTCGAGATTTAGAAACTATGTAGAGAAAGCTTTGAGCAGGCATATAGGAAATCTGATTATTCTCAAGAGATGGCTTTATATAGCTTATGTCTGGATATCATTTAGAGATGATCTAGACATCTGCAAGCGGTGACTTGATTTTTCTCGTTACACAGATATATTCTCCATTGCTGGAGATGAGATTCTCATTTTGTGAAACTTGCGTAAATACTTGCCGTCTTCATGTTTGTCATTAACCATATGTTTGACTTAAAGTTATATAAGAAGTCAAATCTTTGCAACTTAACCCCATCAAATGCCACCATTTAGTTTCAAATTGCATAACTTAAAGAAATACCAAAGTGTAGCGTCTCATTATTCCTGAAAAGATACTTGATATTTGAACAGATATTTTTTTTTCTTTCTGTGCTTTATACAACATTTTTCCAGCCCTTATGCTATTGTGCAAGAAGCAGTGTTATGTGTCACACATTAGTAAGTCATTTGGTAGACTTAAACGAACTTGAGAGACAGAAAAACAGTTTAAGTTTACAACCAGAAATTTGAAGAAGGTGCAGAATTAAAACTATTTTTGGCTGACCGTATGAATGTTTTATCCTTTGTCATGTTGACTGTTGAGCCAAAAAAAAAAAAAAAAAAAAAAAAACTAGCAGAAGTGAAGAATCAACGCTCCCTTAACATGTTACTTAAAATGTTGTACAAGTGAACGTAAATATGGCATAATGAAGTGGTGAAGAGAGCAATTAGATGTTTATATGTCAAAATAGCCAATCACCTATATGTTTCAGGAACTAACTTAACATTCCTAGATATAGAAAGAGGGTCAAAGTCAAATATACACAGTGTTTGAGTACAAACAGCTGTGTAGACAGTTGTGTGCAAAGGTATATGCCCATGTCATATGGTCAGTTTAGTAGAATTCCTCATGGTTATCAGCTGCCCATGGAAATTAATTGAACCAAAATGCAAAACAGAAGTGCAAAACCATATAAAATGAAACAACTATACAGAAAAAGACGTCACAAGTAAACTGTCACAAATAAATTGGGTCAGTCTCTGGCTCTGAATAAACCAAAATAAGATGGTAAGGCATTCACCAAGTTAAGTAAAATATGGGCAGACCTGTTAGCTGACACATGTATGTCTCTTCCACATGGCTGAGTGGTCCACGCTGCTCCAGGCTGTTGATGGCTTGGATGCTAAAGTTAATGGCCATGTGCACTGTCTCCTTCGTACAGGGCATCACTTGAGAGTGTAACTTCCCGTCATGTGTCTGATACTTCTCCATGTCTGTCAGGGTGTCTATGTACTGTTCCTGGTAGCCGGCAGATGAGTTGATGTGCAAGACATAGCCTGTGATTGGTCCATTCCTTATAGGCGGTGGGTCCCAGGTGACGGAGGCTATCTGACCTGTGGAGCCTGTCACCTGGACCTTGAAATTATCTATCACACCTGGAGCTGAAAAACACAAAAACAGCATTCAATACACTCACTTTTATCTATTGCACAGCAAAAATGTTCGATATACCCCATACACAGTAAGCTAAGAACATTTGTTGTTGTACCTAAGAATGACAAAAAAATAATATATTCAAAAAGCAAAAATTACCAAGAAACTTCCAACAAGTATGAAAACTTGATCTAATACTCGTTTGGCATACCATCAATACATTTTTTATCCCAGCATAATTATCTAGCTTCACAACAATATGTTCCCCTTACCTCCAATGGTGGTATTCACTTCCAAGGGTGGGGACAGCTCAGAGCACTTGGTGCCATTATCTGTGCAAGCTGTCACCATGAATTGGTAGCGTTTCCAACCCTCCAAGTTGTCAACAACAGCGGTCAACACGTCCCCCCTTGTGGTCATCACTGGACTGGACCGTCCTAACTGAAATACAGACAATAACTGCCGTGACATCTCAGATCTGTATATGGAGTGATATAATGGTAATTAAATAATACTTAAACATGTACTATACTTGCCTTTTACAATAAGTGATTCATATGAAGTATGGTATATGTACGATGCATGTATTAATCTTGACAAATAAGTCAGTGATTTTGCTTTTGTAATGATCTAGCTGAAATTTGTCTTTATTAATTGATGTAAACTAAAGGTATGTTTGCAATTAATTCCGTGCACCTACAATGCTAATGTCACCATATCAAAATATTGTCAGAGTGATCAACACCCAAAACTTGCTAAAATAAATGAAACATTATTATATCTTTTTAGTACTGAATATACCCATAGTGACTGCTACCTACCTCATATAACTGGTATTTGCTAACATTTCCATTGGGTTCAGGACTAGGTTCCCAGGCCAATGTCACAGAGTTGGAGGTAACTGCCTTCTGTCTCAATCCTGCAGGGGGCAGGCTTGGAGCTGGAACATAAAGAATGTATTACTTCCTTATACTCTACATACTTAGGTGACCAGTGCCACTTTGAGTCTACCACTGAACCTCACCAAACTCTACCTCATGTCATCATCACAGCAAACTACCTTTAAAACAAATCATTCATGTTTAAAATTGGAAAGATACAGTTCATCTAGTACTCTGTGAAAGATTTTTCCATAATGTGACCTGTGCACATGAGTGTGACCTGCAAACCTGGGTTTGACCTGCAAATCCAAGTGTGACCTGCGCATCAGGTTGACTTGCATATCCAAGTGTGACCTGCAGACCTGGATGTGACTTGTATATACAGGTGCCCTATTATTGGTACAAGTCTTCAAAACTGTATGACAAGATGGTCAAACAGAATTGCATTTCACAAAACTAAACATAAGTACCAACTGAATCTTTCAAAAAGAAAAGAAAAGAAACAGCAAAAGTAGTCAAAACTAAAGATCTACCTCTATAGAAATTATAAAAATCATCCCTGAGCCATGACAGAAATGAAACTAATTTAAAGACTGGGTTCCCATACCTAGATCAATCTAACAGGATCAATCCATCTCCAAGGGGTTTCTCACTAAATTGCTTTCAGCTTAAGCGGCTTAGATGTCTGGTATGCCTAATGAAGCTGCTAAACGATATTTAATTACCTACCAGCAGCTTCAGTAGGTGACATACATCTAAGCAGCTTAAGTTGATTGCAATTTAGAGAGAATCCCCTTGGAGATAGATTGATCCACAGATAGGGTCTGGGAATGGTTCCTTAGGTTTACAAGGACAGCATATGGCAAAACTTAAGGGATCTTGGATATTAACGAAAAAGTCCAAAACTAATGCAGCTAATGAAATTTCCTATTAACTTAAAGAAAAGGTCTAGCAAGCCAAACAATTTTTCAAAGTTTGTAGTCACAGTGTAACACGAGTGACGTAATATCAGCGTTTTGAGGCTAAAATTGTCTTTTTTTTAATCAAGAATTTCTCTTAAACAAAAAGCCCTATTAATACGATTGAAATAGCTATCTAAAGGTTAGCACAAACTCCATTAAACTCTGTCAGGATTTTCTCTTTTTATTTTTACTTTTGATTTTATTTTGATAAAACGTGAATTTTACGAAATATATATGGACCTTCCAATTTCAGTATAAATAACTTCAAAAATAAAAGGTCAATCCAAAAACCAAGACTCAGACGACTAGAT